CCACCACCACCACCACCACTATTACTGCCACTACTACTACTACGACTACTACCACTGTTGCCACAACCATCACCGCCGCCGCCGCCGATGCCGCAACCAACACTATTATTACTACTACGGTTGCTCAACGTATAAAACAGCTCAGATAGATAAACGGCACTAAACGATCCAAGCCAGGTGGCCACAGAGATAAATTTGACCTGGAAATGGCCAAAAATAGACCTACGTCCAACCGGAGTCTACCGTTGTGTCAGAAACTCCAACTGCTACAGAACACCAATGCTGCACGCTGTATTTACTATGAGGCTCGAAAAAATTCGAAAACAACTCTAGAGCATGCTTTTAATGCATTGAGTGTTTATGTGGCAGTCAGCCATAAACGCACTTTTGTGACTGCTTTATGGTCACAACTTGTTTTTTTTTTCCGGTGGGGGAAGGAGGCAGAGGTGAATTGTTCACTCTCTCCCCATCCTTCTCTTTTTTGCTCCACCAGACAGCCAACTTTTTCGTATTTTCCGCAGGATGTTGTTATTGTCGTCGTCGTCATCGTCGGACAGAGAGTTGCTCTTTACGGCCTCATTGGCTACCAGTAAGGCCAATTAAGGCACGCGATTAGCAGTCCTCAAGTAGTCGGAAAATCCAGTGAAGCCCTACGCGCAGCGATGGCTGCCTGGTGCGACCGTAGGCAATGCTGGTTTCTTGTAATTCATGAATTGGAATCTGTGCGTTTTCGCGGTCCCCCCCCCCTCCCCCACCCACGCAACGTCATTTTAAGGTTCTAGGACCGTTCCGGACGATGTCGGAGAGTGATTTAATAGAGGGTGGCCAACAACATTCGCCAGATTGGCGTCAGGCCACACCTGAGGGTATCACCACTGCATGATTCACGATTGCTTATTCATCCTCGCCGGAGTCCTGCTCACTCCACAGCTAATCGTCACCGAAGACCGCTCCCACTAGCCGCGAATGAAGCTCTTCATTTGGCCGCAGTCTGCGCTTTCTTGGACTTCTTCTGTCTGCGGAGTCAGCCAATCAGGTGGCACCGCCTCCCCCGCCCTCTGCTGCGGTAGGCTTTGTCGCCGGAGTAGTACCGCCCAACTCAGTGTCGGACCTGATGTCGCCAGGGCGCTGTCGTTTTGGCGGCAGAGCGGACGCCGGATTTCATCATCCTTGTCATCAAACCAACTCTGGGGGCCGCCGCCATGCGCAGTAGAGGAGGAGGAGGTTTCTGCCTCGGGGCTCCCTCCATTCGTTATCAGCTTCAGCGCTCTCCACCACCCTCGTGTGGGATTTAAATACTCCTGAGCTCGGCCGACATGACGTGAGCCCGTTAGTGGCAAGTCGGCAATGTGTCTGCGCGGCCAGCAGTTGCTCTCTGTGTTCTGGTTGTATGTCGTTTCAATGGGTATGACGTTGTCCGGCAAGGGCAAATCAGGACTGGAGCGTGATGTTACAGTGATCGAAGTTGAAAGGGCTTTCTTCAGCGAGGAATGTTGGATGTTCTGGTCCTGTGGCGGGCCTAAAAGTTTTCACCGAGGGCCACTTTGGACTTTCAGCGAGCATTCGGCATAGGAGCATACACTGACGGAGGTGTGATGCTGTCTACGGTGGTCCGCGACACTTCAGTCATGTGTGTTTGTGCTTTCGTCCTAACCCCATCTCTTCGGCTCGTTTCTAAAGTAGTTACCTCAGCATTAAGAGATGTTGTCTAGGATGATCGCCTCTCTAGAGGTGTTCCGGAGGTCTCTTCTTCTGCTTTCAGTTATCTGACTGAGGCCTTCAACGCTGTCCCCGTGACCTATTTTGTCCATTTTGACTGCGAATGCCATGGCGCAGTCCCCGTTGAAGTCGCTTCGGCTGATTTACGTGAGACATCTTCTCTAACTTAGTCTCGTCCGCTCCATCATGACACTGCTGTTCGGAAGATCAGCCGACTGCTGGAACTGGTCGTCCGGAGTCCTCCTCCGTAACTCCAGCTTCACTATCCTTTAACCATCCTTCAGATGGAAGTAGTTCAACTTGTTCGTTTGTTTGGTAGATTTTACAAGTCGTGGGGATGACAATCCTGTGTTCTTGGAGTTGCCCGTTGGGAAGCATGCGAGCTGGATGTTGTAGTTTTCTGCTGACTTCAGCGAAGCAGATCACAATTACATTGTGGATTTCGATACACCTTGAAATCTTGCTCTCCAAGTAAGGAATCTGATCCGCCAGCGTCAGCCGACTACCACGTGGGCTTCGTTGCGCTCCACGCGGCGCATAACAATCGTTTCGTGTGTTTTTATAGTTGATCCCAAATTGGCGCATCTGGAGGCAATGGGGTCCGGAGGTCACTGAATGTGCGCTTCATTTGTGGTGTTCACTTACAGTCGTCGGCTGAGAGCGGACTATAGGCATCCGGACCCTGGGGATATAGTGGGGAGGGGGGAGTTATGATCGTTGGCGAACGGCGCATGTCGGGTACTTTCCCATCACTTCCGCATTTGCTCCCTACGCCAGTCCTCTCGATAGGCGTCCATCAGCATTGTGGCAATTATGAGGCTGAGGAAGCTTCGGGGGGATGCTGTGGCATTGTTTCGCTCTATTTGCTACCACAGCGGTCTCCGAGGTTGATTCACTGTTAGTCACACCTCCTATCTCTCCATCACGAAGCTGTCTGACTATTGGGATGCAGGAATCAATGGCCGCATCTTGAGGAGCGCAGGGGGGGGGGCGGCGGAGAACAATGGTAAGATGTGGGGTCTGGCTGCGAAAAGGTGACGTATCGCGCTGAACGCGTATGCATGCACGCGTCCATACACACAAGGGGTTCTGGTTCGTGAAAATCAGTGACACACAACTTTCTGACTAAATACTGTCCCGTGCGCCTAAGACAGACGCACAACTGATACCAGTCTGTACTGATGGCGTGGAAGAAGTATCCAGAGTCACTAAGGCATATCGCGTCTTCCGAAGGCGAGTTTGCTGCCAACTGCGCAGTCAAAAGACGGGCGGTCCGCTTCGTCTTGGCATTTGAGTCTCGAGCTTTGGGTAAGCGAAAACCAAGAGCCTTTGCACACAACAAGACATCAGGATTGGGGGGTAGGTTTCAGGCTTAGATGACTTCGTCGGCCAGTCATACTCCAGCCTCTGGCGGGGGAAACCTGATGCTTTACCTTAAGTGATTGATCGTGTGACACGCTGACTTCGAGTCCAGTCGTCATGTCTTCCCGGTTCGCGGTTGGATGTTGATGGCAAAAGTGGCGAAAGTGTCCCTCTAGCCTGCATTGTCAAGCCCCATGGATTGTTCTCACTACAGCCTATCGCAGTTTCCCTATGCGTACTTAAACCCCCTAGACGGTCAGCCAGCTGACGTGAGTACTACTTCATCCAATTTTTATGCACCTGCGATCTAACAGCCGGGCAACTGGAAGAATAGTATGTGAAGTGTGTTCTGTCAGAAATATATGTCGGGAATTTGAAGCATTTTTTTCCCTGGTACGAAACTGAAGCAAGCGTGTAAGGCAGGATTATTGGTACCAAAAAATCGCGCGACGGCTCATCAGTTGCGTCCTGTCGCTCTATAACAGAAACAACGAGTGGGAAGAATACAAGAGTTTGAATTCAAGCAAGAAAATTAATTCATGGTTTTGGGTAATGTCGGCTAATCAATAAAATTAGTAACTTCTACACAATATGGAAAGAATAGTGGTAAAAAAGGTTAATGGGCAAAAAGAAAGGGGAATATGAAAATTATGGAGCTAGAGCTTACCATGGCAAAGTTAGAGTAACCACATTTTCTAGCTGTTTACAAGGATCTGATTTCACACGCCGTACATAGGCCGCCTCCAGGTAACGCCGTGTTCGAGTTGTACGTGCCCGAACAGGTACTCTGAAGGATGTTTTAGGGTCGACGGAGCGACCACTATCAAACAGTTGTCTTGTAATGGAGGAATGCGAGATGCCGTTTTCTTGCTTTAGAAGCAGTTTGTACTTCCGCGTGGAAAAGACGCGGCAAACAACGAAGGGCGCTTCGCCTAACAAACTTGAAATATTTCTTAACGCTTTTGAGAAAGGAAAGATGCGTCTGCATCGTTATAATTCGTCAGATAGTTTGGATTTAGTATGAAAATGGCAAGTACCTCGGATGGATGCTCGGATCCAGAGATCTGGTTTTATGAGGTCCCCTGTGAGACCGTTCGAGGCGAGTATGGGAAGACTGTGCTAGTCTGAACAAACGATTTTACTTGTTGATAGATTGGGCTTGTGCATGATCGCCCACAACTGTAGACTTGACCCGAAATCTGAGAGCTTTAAAACGAAAAGTCCAAGGACCTTTAAACACGCGGCTGTACGTTTATCTCACGATCAACCTTCCAGAATTGTGGTCACTTCCCGTCGATAATCAAAATCTTCTTCGTTGTGTTCGTGTTATTTGGTTGGCAAGTTGTTAAACAGGGACTGGTCGCTGGGAATTCACATCTTTTGTTGAGCAGGGCAGATATAAACTCAACAAAAGCTCACAATCATCGTGAGGAACTAAAAATACTCGACAAAGTCGCATGAGTTTATTAAAAGTTACACATATAGAGCAAAAGGCAAGGCGGAAAAATGTTGCGGAGTTTTATTAAGCAAAATCCGTGTTTAACAAAACGCGAATTACTGCCTTGAGCTCAAGCAACTGTTTCAAAATTTGTGAGCGACAAGAACTCTCCGAACCTAATCCTGAAATATGTCATTTTTTGAGTAAAGTAACAATAAGTAGCAAGGCCAATAGGTAAAACGGTTTGGTCACCACCGACTTCATGGAAGACTAACCATGCGACAGGACTGTCTGTTATCTGAAATGTTGGAAACTCTTGGTCATGGGGCGGGGGTAACCAAGAGGAGACCTGATGTCGTGACTTCATGCACAAGAGCGGTACAAAACTGCCTCGGCAGTGGGTGACTGAGCGAGCTAGCGAACACACAGCGATAGGTGGTGCGGCACTGGAGAACAAGTTCCATCCGCCGTCCGATCCAGCATCATCAAAAGACGACATGCTGGTACACAACCTGTTGTCAAGGCAACTGATGAAGGAGTAAGTATAAGTGTTACTGCATGAATTCTCACTCAGCGTAGCTCATGCCAAACCTGTTTACATGCTTGGAGCATGTCAACAGACGGAAGCGACGGACAAGACGAAATACCCGAACGTAATCCCTCCCTATGGCTCGCGGGTGGCCCGAAATACCCCCGAAAGTCCAACATGATGCACTAAGGCGACTCAAAACCGATGAAGACATTGCTTTTGTGCCCAGGGACAAGGGGCATTCCACCGCAGTACTAAACAGAACAAACTATCTTCAGCAAGCCAAGATGTTATTGGAGGATAACTGTTTTTATGTCCCATGCGGAACTACCCTCTTAAAAACACGGAAACGTGGAATAAATGCGACGCTGTTGACACTGGAGAGTTGGGGTACAGTAACGCCGATCGATCGACGCATGACGGGAGCCAAAGAAACGGCTTCGAGCAGATTCTATGGCCTTCCTAAGTTGCACATTGGGGGGGCGGGGATGGTCCTCTTCGGTACATCGTATCACTCCAAGATACTCCAACGTGCGGACTGGCAAAGTGGCTGTCTCGACGTCTCAAGCTTCTGATCAGATAGCACGGGTTGTAGGTCAACATACTTCTTGGAAAAACTTAGAGGAGTAAGTTTCCTGCTAAATGTGTTCATGGCATGTTTTGATGTCTCGAACCCCCCTGCTTACTGTCGGAAACAGTCAACTTCACCGCCCAGCAAACACTTACTACAAAAGGCGTACTTCTGCAAACTCTCAGCAAAATTAATTCCACCCTCCAAGAAACTGACAAAGGACTGCTTTTCTAATAATATTGCCGTGAAAAATACATCTACCCGAAAAAATTATTTTCAACATTAAAAATGGTCCGTTCAAGCGGGTGTAATGGACTGAAGCGAGTCCAAACCTTTGGCCCGTAGTCTGGGGTCAAGCTACCACGAGCTGATAAGGACACGTAAGATGAAACTGACCAGGCAGGTTTCCCTATCGTCAGCGCCAATTCTTCTCATTCTGTTGCCTGACTGCATTCATATCTACTTTATTGTCAACGACGCCTACTTAGAAATGTCTCAATGGCACATTCACGCACGAGTGATACGAGCAACCCACACAATTTTTCATGAAAACCTCGCGTGCTGGGTGGTGGGGTCGGGTCGGGCCGGGATGTGTGTGGCACGCGTAGACGGACTTCCCAGCCATCAGCCACTTGCGCTCAGTTCCCACATCAGGCGACTGACCGGATCAGGCAGACTGTGTGCTGGTGCCTGACAGACAGACGCGAGAGTGAGCTCGACACTGCCGACTCCGTCCGCACAGCACTTCAGCGTATTATACAATAGAAACTATCTGACACCCTCGATTCCATCACCACACACTAAACGGTGTGCGTTAGACGGTCGCGCAGTTGGCAGTGCGACTCAAACCTCTCAGTCGAACCCGTGCATGTTTGTGTAGAGTGGTCGACCGGAGGACTGTAAGACACTCTGAAGGACTCCTCCGTACTATGATCTCCACAGTTCCAACATCGTTGTCGACGACGTCCCCCGTGTGCCCCACAGAAAGGTGAAACCAGGCACGGTGACTTATGCGTGAATTGGTTTATAGTGGTAGTGTACTTGCATAGCATCTACCGCACTCTCTCCTCCTCCTCCTCCTCACCTGGGTTCTTTGGGTTCGTCTACCTGTCAGGTACCAGCCCACTGTCTGATTCAGTCAGTTACCTGATGTGTGGACTGAGCGCAATTGGTGGGTGGCTGGATAGTCCGTCTGCGCGGGCCACACCGTCCACTTACGAGAGAGAGATGCCTTCTTTGTGCCTGTGGTGGTTCATGTGGGACCGTGAGATGTGGTTATTTACTGCAGATTTTCGCGGAGGCACACATGGCGTAGTAAACTCATGCGATAACTGAGTGTGCGTGGGTTGTCGGGCAGTTGAATCGGGTGCGGCGGGCGTATTTTGGGGCACCGGACACTAGTTAGCCGGTCTTGGTGTAACGGACTCATATACGACCGGCGGCTTAAATTTTAGCCAAGAGCTTTTAAAACGGGTGACTTTCAGCCGGACGCTAGGACCGCCAAGGCGGCGTTCGACTCCTCTATATGCTTGCGTATGATTGACTGGGCGTTGGGTTTGTGATCTTCTCTTTGCATCTTTTTAGCACTCTGAATTTTAACAACCTGAGGGAGTTTTCGAGTTGCTAAGGGCTTTATTCGCGACGTTCCTCATCACGAATATCTTCTAGTTGGACAATCGGTGGAGGGGGACTTAAATAGGAAAACTCTATGAAGGGATAGGTAAGTTTATTAGGACTTTGGTAGATCAAACCGTCCATGTAATTGCTCATCATCAGGGGCCGTTTTGGCGTGTGCACAGAGCCCACTTGAGCACTTGGAACATTCGTTTGTCA